GCAATGCAGCAGTGCCTTGCGGAACTGCAAATACATTCCCGTTTTGGCAGGCAAGTCGACACATATGTTCCAAACATCAACCTTGAAACCTAGGAGCCTGCTTTCGTCTGATAGCTAACCATCGACCAATGAGGCATGAGGGACTTTGCGAGTGCTCCAAGGACACAGCCCGTAAGAGCTCATGGGTCGCGGAAGCTCACAGGATGTCGGACTACATTGAGGTTTAAGCCCTGTCTGATGGGCTTTAGACGTAGGCCAATAACTGATTCTTACGAAGGGATGTTCACATCGGTTGGTAAAGACAAGATAAATCATATGAACAAGCCAAAACACATATGGAACAAACGAAAGACGGCCATACAAATAACACAAACAAATACACAGGTGAAAAACAATCTGGAAACAGTCAATACTGGATACTGATTCTATCTAATTGTTAAAGGAATGGAACTTACCGCCTGATATTGTAAATACTGTTCTTGTTTCTTCACCTTCCCCAAGTTCATTGTGTCCACGCACGCCAGCAATCAGAGGCACACATATCGGTAGATCCGAAAATATGGCCTCATGGTCAGCAGTTTCCGTGGTCCGTATGGGATTCCCGTTATTGTATACAGCAACGGTAAACTTGTTTGCGGCGCATTTCGATGCATGCATCCATGACACTCTTACCGAACCTACCTCGGATGTTTCGTGCACTGTCAATCTGGAAGGGGGTTTGGGAACTGTGAAACGGAAGGCAGAAGACAATCACAAATTACCCTGGAAATCGACGTCATGGAAGCCCTAAATTTCTCCCCGACACCTTGTTTTGCATGCCTTCAAATGTGGTGTTTTTTACGCATAAGCTACAATTAGAATCGTAATAGAATTGGACCATGTCCAATAAAACACACGGCTTCATCACACAGTATGATGTTATTGCTGTCACTTAATTTCATGCGAATCAGGCCATTCCGATCAACCATCCGTTGACACTGTTTGTTGATTTGGGTCTATTTTTCCTGTGTTCCCCTGATCACTATGACCTGAGTTGGCCGCTTCTGGACTACACGGAAACACTGATTTCAAATTTGTTCGACGATGCTTACTTCTGTGAGCGTTTGCGATCCGTATGCACCGAACTGGACGGGGTTGATCGGTTCACGCGGTTCTAACGCCGCGGCAGCGAATGCAGGCTTGGTTGAGTGTCTGTGCTACAGACCACTGCTGTGAACCGGTTTGGAAGTGGAAACAGGCATGACAGCCAATGAAGTCTACCGCGTTTCACCGAACAGTGTGGGAGCCATCAGGTCACGAGCGAGTATTGGATTAGTGCAGGAAACAGCTATGCGCGTTTGTGGATTGAGCAATGAGCGGAATGGCTTCTGAGAGAAACATTCATCTCCGAATAAATCGCAATTGTATTTACACATTCCTGAAACGTTGAACTGAATTGCGTTCCTAGGTTACCCC